CAGCTGGTGTCCCTGGGGAGAAGGTGGACACCTTTGTGTTTGAACACAAGGCCCTGAGATGGTCGCTGCTCTTCATCCGGTCCTTGGCTTTACTGACCATTGTGCTCTGATTTTTCCAGGCGTATTTTTTGCCATGTGTTTAGTAGGTAGGTGCTGGCTCTGCTCCTGTGATCATGTTGTTCTCACTGTTGTCATTTATTGTCTGCCTTGGACTGGGTTGGTTTATCTCAGTGAGCTCTAGTTGTGAGTGCAGTCATCCCCGTTGCCTGTTCTGCCTGGCATAGCTGTGCGGGTCGAGGTGGGTTGGTGCCTCTTTCAGACCTTCACCCTCTCAGGCTCGGGGTGGCTGGGGGCCTGGGGAGTTTTGTAGCTAGTGCATCGTTTACCTGGGTGAAACTCGCTTCCCTTCCAGTGCCGTTGTCTGCCTCTGCGCTGGTCCTTGCTTGTGTGGCTCACACTCGTACTCATCAGCTCCTGGGAGTGAGTCAGTGTCTCCCGACAGCCTGGCACACTGTTTGCATGGTGCAGGTGGAGGTGTCTGCTCCTGTCCTGGGACCTGCAGCCAAGAGCGTGCTGTAAGATCTCGTGAAAGATGCTGCTTTCCCAGCAAAGCTGTCTAGGGCCAGGCCCTTTCCAGGTTGCTCTGGATCTTTGCCCATGCCCAGGTGTGCTTGTAGCCTGAAACAGCTGTTGACCGAGGAGAGCTGGCTGTGTGGGTGAGCAGGAGCATGGAAGTACAACCCTGCGAGCTCCAGATAACTCAGCCTCCTTGTGCTGGTGGAATGGAGAGCTCCTTCGGAGCCGGTAGATGCTGGCTTGCTCCACAGACTGCCTGGAGCAGTCAACCAGGCAGAAAGCTTGGCTCAGCCGGAGTGTCTGGGATCCAGCGGCTCAAACATATTGTGGCAAAAAGGAGGGAACATGTGAACATGTGCTCTGGGGGCTGTGGAACAAATCCTCAGGCTCCCATGCTGACTTTTTTTTTTCCCAAGGAGGAGGGGGAGCTTTTTTTTTAAGCCATTAATTTTCCCTTTGTCAACAGAAAAAAATTTTTCAGCAATTTTCCTCTGGGGGCAGGAACAGTTAGTTATCATGCTGGAAGACAGCACAATATTACCACAGAAATCTTATCTATATGCTTGCTGGTAACATGAAAGATGGGCAGATAAGCTTTGGGTCAGAGGAGCCCCAGCCTTGCTCGCTGTGATCCTGTACTGCCATTTGAAGGGCGGAGGTAAGCTCATGCCAGACAAGTGAGTGAAGCCCCTGTCTGCCCAAGATTTGGAGCAAAACTGCAGTGCATTGGGTACGTGGGAATGAATGTCCTGTGACCAGAGTAGGGGGAGTTGACAGTGACGGTCTGCCTTAACTTTTAGATGTCATGTTTGCCTATTTAAATGGAGGGTTTGTGGGGAGGATGGAAGAGCTGCACAAGTTGGGGCTTGAGATGAGATGCAGTTGGGGAGCTGGGGAATCCCTGCCATGACGATGAGACAGGCTTGGGGCTGTCCTCCATGCAGCACTGCTCTAACCAGCTGGGGAGTGAGTTGTTGCCTTCCTCTTTCCTGTCCTCTACTTCCCCAAGGGCTTATTAGGAACCTTTGTCTCTGCTGGTGGATGCTGAGGAGGCTTTGGGTAAGGGTAGGAAGTCAAAGTGCTTTTGACTTGTTAATTACTGATGCTCTCTGATACCATCAAGCCCTTGTTGCTATGTAGATCTCTTCTGTGTTGAGCAGTGTGCAGGCACTTGAAGTCCCCAGGCCAAGAAGATGACAATCTACAAAGACAAGGCAGGATGATGGGGATGATGACACAGGTAGCAGGGAAAAAGTGACTTATCCCAGCTTTTCTCTGTAATTTGGGCTAAAGCCCAGTTCTGTGACTGGCCTCTGATCTGTGCGAGCTATCCCCTCTCCCTGCCCAGCCCTAGGGAGGCTGATGGTGCTGGGGTCAAGAAGCTGTGTGTATTTGGAGAGGGCAGGATTGGGAAGCTCATTCGCTTAAATCAAGTATAATCATAGGTGGCAGTTGCTGTTTACTGGAGAAGCAATTTCCTGTAACTGGGTTTGTCTGGGTTCCTGCTCAGCCTTCCCTCCCCTGTATTGTGTCTTGCCTGTGTTGCAGATGGTTTGGCTTGACTTCACCCTGGTGTCTGACTGCCTCTGGAAGCCCTTCCAGGAAAGGTATTTTTTAAGCTCTTTGTGCTTCGGTTCAGCACATGATGGATCCCTGCAGCCCGCGAATCATCGCTCTTGATGAGTAGCACTGCGCAAGTAGGGCTTGCTCGTATTAGCTATGTGATACCTTCTTTGGGGCCATCCTGCAGGGTGCTGAGCCCAGGGAAAAATGAGTGTATCCAGTATCCTGCGGGGCCAGGTCAATAATTCACCTCTGGATCTAGCAGGAGGGAGATTGGGTTGCCAGCTCCATCTCACTCGAGCGTTTGCAGACACTTTCAGCTCTCCTGTTTCTGCTTCATGACAGCAGCAGGGTGCTCCTTGCTTCAGTGTGCTGGCAGAGCCCCACAGATGATCTCTGGCAGAAGGAGGAACAGCTGGGTCAAGGAATGAGAAGAATTCGGAGGCGCTCAGACTCGTGCAGGTGCTGAAATTTTTCTGGAGGAAGTTTTGATGTGGCTTCTGTTTGGCAGATGGCAAGGCTGGCTTTCAGTGTTCATGTTTTGCCCTCCACTTGGCTCTTTCCTGAGTGGATGTGAAGACGTTTAGTGTCTTGCCCCGCTGTTTGTTGGGAAGATGACATTGGAATTTGGAAATGTGGAAGCAAAAGACAAAGAAAGATGAGTCGCTAGGGAGCGTGGTTCTGAAGAAGCGGTGCCCAGCGCAGTTCTACTTCGATACCTGAGTGCCTGTGCAGGAGCAGGTGCTGTGTCTCCTGAGCAGAAGGAGAGGGCAGGCTGCTCGTGAAGTTGCTCACACATTCAGAGGCACATTAAGACACCAGGGCATGAACTGGTGCCTGAGCACTGAGCAACAGAGAAGGTCAGTGTGGTTCCAGCTGCAAAGTGAAGCACCTCTGTGGGGGACTAGCAGGCTGCATGGGTGCTGTGGCTCAGCTGGCAGCCAGGAGCTGTTGTGCTGGGTTCTCCACATCCGTGTTTGCCCTTCCAGTTGGTTTGAACCCAATGTAAATGTGTTGGAGGTGCTGAGACTTGCAGTGCGAGTGGCTCATGAAGGGATGGGAAGGCATTTGGGTCCCTTCCCAGTGGAGGAGAGCAGCATCTGTCCAAAGGCGTGGGAAGGTTTAAGAGCAACCGATCCTAGTTGCTCAGAGATCAGTTCTCCTTCCAGCCTGCAGCCGTTAATCGTGTTATCTGAATTGCAAACGCTGACTCAGGGACTTTCCCCACCCCAGCCTCTGTCAGAGGAGTCCTTTGTCTGTGCCTGCTCTGTGGAAGCAAAGAATCCATCCACACGTGGAGCTGATTTATTGTCTGACTTTCACAGTGTCCAGTGAGTTGATTTAAGTCCCTCCCTGCTGCCCCTTGACTTGGGGAGGGTCCCAAGGGCCAACCATGAAGCCATTGCATTACCTACATCCTCCCTTTGTGTCCATCCATCGCCTTCTCTCCTCCCTCACTGCTCTAGCTGAGCAGACTCTGGTTTCCACAACCAGCTCTGCTTGCTATGTCTGTCTAGAGCCAAAGCTCTTTCAGCTGTGAAGTGCTGGCTGGGGAGGTGTGTGGTGTTGTGCAAGCAACTCGGCCGAGGTGCAGGAGCTGGTGCTGGAGCTGTCTGGAGCTGGGTGGCCACATCTGGCTGCAGAGCAGCAGCAGGGTGAGTTCCTGCCTGCCCTCCAGAGCAAGTAGATGCTCCTGGTGTTTGCACAGCTGGAAGCGCTGTCATGCCATGGTCTCATCACCGTGTGGATGGTGGTTTCGGAGCCTCATGTGGCATCTGCATGCCCTTGTACAGCTCCCGTCCCTCCTGGCTCCTGTTTGTGTTTGGGGTAGGGACTCCTTTCTCTGGAGTCAAGTGCAGCGTATGGCTGTGGCGGTTTGTCACCGACTTTGATGTTGGTGAGAATGGGAGAGGAGGAGCTGGCTCTTTAGGGACAAGCCACAGAGGAACCAGTAACTGCCGGTGTGCCAGGGCAAAGCTCAAGGTTGGCCTCTGGCAGATAGTGTAAGAAGTTGGTGAACGGTGTTACCTGGAAATGCCTTCCTCAGCAGGGAGGGGTGAGGACTTGGTGCCTGAGGGGCTGCTCTCAGGGCTGCATGCCTTCTGTGCTGGAAGCAGAGGCCCCAACAGCTTTGGCGAGTCATGGGGGGCTCCTTGTCCAGGTGCTGGAGCACCCAGCTGAGGTCACGCTTTGCTGCAGATGGTGTTGGGTGTCTTGACTCTGTGTCTGCTTGGCCGAGTGGGAAAGCCACTGGAGATGGCAGCAGAGGACAATGCCTGTAGCAGGCAGCTTGGGTGCCAGGAGCCAGCGGGCCTGCTGTCCCCAGGGAAGGAGCTGGTTTCTCTGCAGCTGATGTGGCGAGGCTGGTGGGTGTCTGGCTGCACCCAGGAACGGTCCCTGGCACACATCCCACTGCTCAGCCCATGGGACTGGGCTTGTTTTTAGAGGTGGCCCTGTGCTGTCCTCTCATCAAACCAAATAGAACTCTGGGGAAAAAAACAAAACAACCAATTAAAAAAAAAACAACAAACAAACCCAAACCAAAACCCAATAACCAGCAAGAAGAAAAATTGCAGCAGAATTAGTAATAACATGTGTGGGAGAGAAGCAATGCCAGCAGCACGTCAGAACGGAGGAGTTCAGCACACACAAACGGGGCTGAGACCGCTTCCCACTGCACACTCCTCCGTATGGCACTTGACTGTGAGCTCCAGCCATGCCCGGGGCTACCGCAGCTGGTCACACTGGGAGGAAAGAGCAGGAATTTGGGAACCAGGATGATGTGAGGGCCGGGACCTGCTCTGTCCAGACACCACAGGATGCTCAACTGCTGCTAACTGCTCTTCTTTTTCCCTCCACAGGGTTCTGGCATCGGTGATGAGCAATGGGGTATGATGTAGCACGTTTTCAGGGGGATGTTGATGAAGACCTTATATGCCCCATCTGCAGCGGGGTCCTGGAGGAGCCAGTTCAGGTAGGTTTCTGTCTGAGCACTGACTGTGGCTACTGAAAGCCTCCGATTGCAGCTCCAGACTTCTAGATGTCTTGATCAGATGATGGGCGCCGCACACAGCGTGTGCATTAGGTGAGCTCAATGGATTCTTAACTTTCCTACTAATGGTTTAAGCTAACAGCACGGGTAAGGAAGCAGCACCAGGGATAAAAGTCTGCGGTTGTGTGAGTTCTGGTGGAAATGAACTAAAGTTCTGGGTTTGGGGGATGTCCTGGGGTCAGCAAGGAGGCGGGAGGAAGGGATTAGCTTGTGTGGGGTCAGGTTTCCCTTACTCTTTCATTCCTGACTCCCTTCTTAACTCTAGCAAAGCTCAATGCAGCTGCTTACCAGTGATGGCGTCCCAAGGCAGAGATGGCAGCAGCTATGCTAAAATCTGTCCCTTGCTTATGGCTTCATGCTTGGTTGACCCTCTCTGCTTCCCTGCACACATGCTTCCTCCATGCTACAGAGCTGTTCTGTTTTACTTGCCATTGGGAGCCTGGCTCGGCTATCCTGTCACCAAACGTAGCTTGGAGGATGGACAGACCACAGCCCTGGTACCAGCACACTGCTCTGCCTGGGCCTGGCACAGCTGAGTTGTTTGGTGGATCCTCTGGCTCACTCTGCAGCTTGTGCAGCCACTTGGGGAAGGAGGGTGTGCATGGAGAGCTGCTGCTTCCACTCCTCCCTCCGCTTGCTGTGAAGCGGAAGGGCTGTTGGACGGGGCTTTCCTGTCAGTTCTGTTATTACAAGCTCTTGCAGTGCAGCGTTGCTCTGGAGCACTGGGTAGTCTCCAGCCGTCCTGTGCCTCTTGGTGCTGGAACGGCTGTATTTGTCACTGTCCTGCGAGGTCCTGTTACCTGGGGAGAGGTTAGTGGCAGCTTTTCTAGCCCCCTCACCAGTGCTGACCAGACTGGAACACTGCTGGCTGAGTGGAGCTGGCTGCTACATGGGACTTTGTGTGTCCCCCCTGGTCCCTGCCCCTTCCTTTCAGGGTCTGCATGCCACCGGAGGCATTCCTACACTGGCCAAGCTGTGGCCATGTGCTGGGTAGCTCAGTACCCTCTGCGTAAATCCAGCTTCATTTGAAATAAAACAGATTAAAATAAAACTGAGCTAATCTGAAATGTGTGCATAATTATTGCAGTTTCATCACTTAATAATGAAACACATCACAAAAGCTGTGGTTTTTGCTGTGCTGGTAAGCTGCCCGATGGGGATCCCAGAGAGTCTGGAGCTGTGTACTGTAGCCCACCCTGTGCAGGTGGGCTGGGGGTGCGTGGAACTGCAATCTATTGTAGTTAAAATCATGGGTTTGCACCTTCCAGCTATGTGAATCTGTTATGTCAAACAAGCTTTGATTTTAAAAAGTCTGTCAACATGTGAACACGATCACAGGCCACCGCATAAAACAGAGGGAAAGTTGCAGCTTTCTTAAGCAGGTTTATTTAAATCTTCTTTTGAGAATGTGATATCACAAATTCCCTTGTTCCCAGGCTTTTCTCAAGTGTGTTTAACAGCCTGTCTGTTGGATGCCAGCCCTCCTGCTCCTGCCAGCACCACAGTAACTGGAGTTGTGATGAGGCTGAGTTTGTAGCTAGGCACAAGCTGTGCCCTCTGACAAGCCTTGGTTTGAAGGGAGCAAATTCCTGAGGACTCTTTCCTTGTTCCTCCCTTCCAGCGCAGTCCCTCTGCCTGGTCAAAACAGGGCTGTCTCCAGTGATACCTCAGAGGGCTCAGGGCTGTACCCAGCCCTAAGATTTCAGTATCTCCAAGGATGGAGATTCCCCAGGGCCCATCCCTGCATTACGGGCACAGAGTGACCCTATGTGTGCAATAGCCAGTGAAACTGGTGTGATTCATCTGTCGCATCTCCAGTCTGCACTTGGTGACGCTGGGGTACCCTGATCACTAAACTTCAGTGGGGCGGGCATGGGCTTAAAAGGATAAAACACCACAAGGGGAGCAGAGAGGCTGGCTTTGTGGAAGACAGTGGAAAGCCAAAGCCTCGTAGAGTGGGACTTCAGGAAACTGTGAGGGAGAGGAGGGGCTGTACCTGTGCCAGAGCCCAGCACGTGCTGCCTTGTCTGATGCAGGCTTGGCTGCCTGCTGGCTCGGAGACACTGTGCTGGGCAGGTTGGCTCAAGCTGCGTCACCACAGGGGCTGCACTAAAACTCCCCAGATGGTCCTGTAGCTTGAACGGGTGAATCCTAACCCACCGTACATCCTGTAATCGTTGTCTGTCTTTGTTGGCTGGTACGAGGCAGCCTGCAAGGCACTGTGCACTGGGGGAACAGCTTGTAAGTGAGATTTAGCCCTGAATGTGTCTGACCTTCCTGTAACTCCGGGTTTCTGCTCTGTGGAAGAAAGCTCAGTGTTGTCCAAAGAGCTGGCATGTGTCCCGCTCCCCCTCCCCAGTCTTAATACTCTTTTCAATTGCAGCTTGAATGCAAGAGCAGAGCCCAGCTGTGTAAATACAGTGAAGTAATGTTCTAATCTGCCCTGGAAAAATGTTTAAATTTAGCATCTTGATCTGTCTTGGCCCCTCAGCCCTTTCAGGAGGCAGCATTACCTGGGATGGAGCAGAGCAGGAGCACTGCTCTGAGGGGGTCCATGTCCTGTCACAGGGAGCTGATCTGCCTGCAAGACACCATGTGTCGGGGGGGGGTCAAAGAGAGTACCCTGGTGGGGCTGCGCATGCAAATTAAAACTGGGGTGGATGAAGGTGGGCACCTGCTTTTCCAAGGGAAAGGGAGGACGGCTCTGCAGCAGTGCCTCTTGTGTTGTAGCGGACGGTACCGTGTGCGGCTCTGGTCTTTACAGGTGTGGCTTTTGGTGTCTCATTCCCCTGTGCGGGCATTGTGCCTGCTTGTGTAATGGAGGTGCTTCTTCGTTTTGCTTTCCTCGCCCAAGGCAGCACATAGCTGCTGTGCACCCCTTGAAGACCGAGAGCCTTTCTCTGGTCAAGGTTGTCCTCCACACACAAGCCAGCAAACGCTTTCCCACTGGGTCTGAGTAACACATGGCTGTTCTCTGCCCCTCCGCAGGCTCCTCACTGCGAGCACGCCTTCTGCAATGCCTGCATCACCCAGTGGTTCTCCCAGCAGCAGACGTGCCCTGTGGACCGCAGCGTCGTGACAGTTGCCCACCTCCGCCCCGTCCCGCGGATCATGCGTAATATGCTCTCGAAGCTGCAGATCACTTGCGACAACGCTGTTTTTGGCTGTACGGCAGTTGTGCGACTTGACAACCTGATGTCTCACCTCAATGACTGCGAGCACAATCCAAAGCGCCCAGTGACTTGCGAGCAGGGATGCGGGTGAGGATGGCCTTGGGGGGCTCTGCCACAGAGGGTGGGCAGAGCAGGAGACAAAGGCTCAGGGAAGGAAACCGGGGTTTGGTGCCTGACACCCTTTTGCCCCATAGGTGCAGAGCTCTGGGGGTGGCAGGGCTTTGAAGGCCATGGTGCTGCAGAAAGGGTTGGGAAGGATTTTTAGTCAAACCCTTTTCTTCTTAAACTTGGTTCAAAGTCCCTGGCTCTTCAGCTCGTTGCTGGGGCTTAGGTGTTGGTCGACTGCTGGAAATGGGGTACTGGAGCCTTTGTGAATCCGCCCAAAGCCATTCCAGCCCCCTGGCACAAGTTCCAGCATGAGCTCTGCTCCCTCCTACGCATCACCAAAAGCCGGGAGCGGTGGGTGGCTGGTCTGGCCTTGGCAAGTGTGCTCTTGGTGCTGATATCCTTCCCACTCACGTGTTGTAAGCATCCAGCCAGGTGGTGACTGACTGTTGGCTTGGAGACTATCAGATCTCCTTGGATGAAGTCAGAGACTGGATCAGGCCCATGGGTTGCCTAGCGTGGGACCTGATTCTGAGCCCTGATCACTTTGGAGGAGGAAAATCCCCATTGCCTGCTGACCTGGTGGTGGTTTGTTCGCATAGCTCTCCCCCAGACCATTTGGCCTGGCCCTGAGACACAGCAGGGAATGGGCCTTCCTACACCTATTGGAGGTTACAACGCTGGGCTTCCCGGGCCTCTTGGCAAGTCCTCCAAGACTGGATTTGTTCTGGAGACTGTTTATGTGCTTACACCAAGTGCTCTGGTCTGTAACTTTCCCTAACATGGGGCCTCCACCTTTTTTTTTTGTAACGCTCCACAGCTTGGAAATGCCCAAAGATGAGCTGCCAAACCACAACTGCATCAAGCATTTGAGATCTGTGGTGCAACAGCAGCAGACGAGAATTGCCGAGCTGGAGAAGACCTCGGCAGAGCACAAGCATCAGCTGGCCGAGCAGGTAGGTCCGTGTGTGCGAGGAGCTGTCTCACAGCAGGGTCTCTCATGGGAAGGGTCAGTCTCGCCTGCTTGGACACCAAACGTCACAAAAGCATTGTGGACGAAGAAAGTGGCTGCAGAGCAGCCCGAGCTGAGTGCAGCCAGGGCTCTGCTGCTGTTCTGCACCTCTGTCGTCCAGCTGCTGGGACAGTAGCTGAGCTGACGGGCAGGGGTGTGTTCCCCCTGCCGCTGTGCTGGGGTCTGGTCTCATGGTGGGTAGCTGAGGCATTGACTCCTTTTTGCAAACCCTGCTCTGTCCTGCCTGTTGCAGAAACGGGACATTCAGTTGCTGAAGGCCTACATGCGTGCCATCCGCAGTGTCAACCCCAACCTGCAGAACCTGGAGGAGACCATTGAATACAATGAAATCCTGGAGTAAGTGCTGGTTCTCGTGCTGATCGGGGAGGAGCTGGGGAGCCCTGCGTTGGGGTGCAGGTGGAGCTGGGCGTCTGCTAGCTTCGCTGATGGATTTGAGAGGGGGTGATGTGCCTTCCGAGGCAAGAAGAAAATGCTTCACAAAAGCAAGGGGGCAGTTGTGGGGTGTTTGTGCTGGGGAGCAGCACGTGAGCTGCTTGCACAATGGGTTTGGAGCATTTTTATTCTTCCACCTGCATCCTGCCCATGAGCAGGAAGCTGCCAGATTCCTTCCTCCTTGTGAGAAAGGCCGGAGGAAGCAGCTTCTCATCTCATCCTTTCTTCCCCTCCCTCTGGGGAGGGAGTAGCAGAGCTGAATGCCGCAGCTGGGTCCCATTTCAGGGTGAAAACGGGAGGGATATGTGGGGAAATGGAGGCATTCCCCATCCAGCTTTGCTCCCGAATGTGGAGCAGACCAGAGGCAGAGCAGTTCCCTGCTTTTGATGGGAGCCAACAAAAATGCACAACACTGACTGCTTTGTCCCCCTGTCTGTCACCAGGTGGGTGAACTCCTTGCAGCCGGCCCGGGTGACACGGTGGGGTGGAATGATCTCCACGCCGGACGCGGTGCTGCAGGCCGTCATCAAGCGCTCGCTGGTGGAGAGCGGCTGCCCCACGTCCATCATCAACGAGCTGATCGAGAACGCCCATGAGCGGAACTGGCCGCAGGGCCTGGCCACACTGGAGACCCGCCAGATGAACCGGCGGTATTACGAGAACTATGTGGCTAAGCGCATCCCCGGCAAGCAGGCCGTGGTGGTGATGGCCTGTGAAAACCAGCACATGGGCGAGGACATGGTGCTAGAGCCGGGACTGGTGATGATATTTGCACACGGAGTGGAGGAAATCTAAGGACTTTCAAAGAGAAACGCTTCGTGATGACGAGGGAGAGGAGGGGAAAGGTGCAGAGGTGGAGACTGGGGGTAGCCGGTCAAAACTGCTGGTGTTCCCTAGTCACCGACATGGTTTTCTTAGGGCACCGTTCCCTCAAACCTCTCGCTTCCTAGCTGAAATGATTCAATGCCTCTGGTAAATACTGCTCAAACACTTGGCCCAGCAGTGACCACACACTGCAGCCCCTCCACGTTCGCCCCTTGCAGATCAGCTTCTCCCGTTCAATGTCTTTTGAGGAGAGAAGGAGCAACCGCTCCACATGTACTGCCAGACTCCTCAGACCCAGCCTGTGTTTTGGGTGCTGGTGCCTCTCCCAAAGCCCGGCTCCTGGTCCAGCCCAAACCCCGAGGCCTGGCTCGGCTCTTGCTGTGAACAGACCCCACGGCCCCTGGCAGCTCTCGCTTATCTGGTGCCTGAATCCTCCCTGGGCTTTCTCTCCCTCTGTGGATTTTCTGCCTCGCTCTCCGGCGTCTCTCTGCCGCTGTCTTTCCAAGCCTTGGCTCTGACGTCCCAGTATGGCGGCAGCAGCGGGGTCCGCTCCCACCTCCTCCTGCGGGTTGGGGAAGGGGCTTGGCCAGGGGAGTCCCTGAACTGGGCGCTGTCAGCGTCACCCCTTGGGGTCCTGCTCGACCCTGCAGCCGCCCGGAGCCAAACCAGCCGGGGATGAGCCCCCGGCACCCGCAGGGCACTGGAGGGGCTCTGTGTTGGGGACCAGCCTTTCCCCTCGCCAGTGCGGCACCCTGCAGACCACGGGCCCCTCTCTCCTTGCATGCCCCAGCCCCTCTCCTCCCTGGGAGAGGCAGGATCCCCACGCTCGCCCCCCAGTCCCCCAGCTCACAGCCCCCCCAGGCGTCTCCTGCCCTCCCACCTTGCCCGGAGATGCCGTCCTGCCCTGTGTTTGCTGGTGTTTGGCTCCACTTCCTCTGCTGTTACTGCTGTTAGTTTTCCAGACACTTGTGATTGTGGTTCTGTATTTTTTTTATTTGTACTTTTTTTGGCCTTTTCTTGTTTTTATTCCCACTCCTCCTTTCTTATTTTATTTTTGAAGTACCGTGGACAGGCGCCTCAGAACCTGGTTACGTTTACTTGTTGGGAACTTAATTTATTTGCATTTGTTATGTTGTTTTTTACAGTACTTTCTCCTCCGGTGTCTGTACCGCTCGGATCTGGCTGCAGCTGGGTCCGGTGCCTGGCCGGCCTGGCGGGAGGCAGGGATTTAAGTGATCAATAAACAGCGTTCTGGTTGCTTTATCAGTGTCTCGGTGCCTTGGAGGGGTCTGTGCCTGCTCCCAAAAAGCCCCTGACCTGGCGGCGTTTGGCAAAGGGGCTCAGTCCCATCTGAAAAATGGGTGGGTTTGGGGGAGTCGTCCCCATCTTGGGGGGGGGGCATGGGGTCCCTCCCGTCTCTTTGTGCTGCTGAGATCAATAAACGCCTTTCCTGGGTGCTGCTGTTGTGGGTCCCCTCAGCTGGGGCCCCCCCCCGGGAGGGACAGGTCCTGCCACGGGGGTCCGTGGGTTGTCCCCTGTACCCAGCTCTGCAGCCCCCCCGCAAGGTGT